CCCCGTTTACCTTCCCAGTTTTGTTTCCCACCACCTTGCCATTACACACCCTACACTCCAGCCACACGTCTAGGTGAAGGCCTGAAACAGGCAGGCTGAAAATAGAAATGGCAGGAAGGTTTGCACAATTTTCTGTTTATTAAGGGACAGTCAGGTGATTGGGTCAGAGCCAAGTCAGGCAATCTGCTCTTCTACAGTAAATGAGACTCAGAGACACAGTATCCTGAGGGCCCCTTGATTAATCATCTTTTGACCAACATGCTCCCACAAAATAGACACTCCTTTGGTCACATGTTTTGCCTATGAGCTGGGCCTTAAATATTCCCGCTCTGGACTTAGTCAAGAGAGCTGATTATCTCCTATCTAGACTATTCCCCACAGTACTTATCACTACTTGACCTAGTGTATTTTTGTTGAGTTTGTTGCTCTTTGCCCACTCACTCATATCATAAACTACATGAGGACCAGGTTTTATTTTGTTGTTGTTCTCTACCAAATCTCCAGTTCCTAAAACAGTACCTGGCACATAGTAGGTGCTCAATAAACACACGTTACTGTCATTCTTGTTATTTGTCAACTTACCTGAACAGTGAAGTGGGGCTTCTAGTTAAACATATTGGATTCAATATATGAATTGTTTCTGATCCTTCCTGAAACTCTACTAAATCCACTAAAGGGATTTTAAAAATGAAAAAGAGAATGGGAGTGGGGACATCAGTAGAACCTATTCTGACCACCCTATTTAAAATTACACCCTCCCCTTCTCAATCTCCTTATCCCATCTTTCCCTTGCTTTCATAGCACCTATTAGCTTTTAATAGATTATATAATTTACTTATGAATTATGCTAATTTGTCAGACCCATCCCTAGAACGTAAGCACCAAGAAGGCAGGATCTTAATTTTTTTATTCACTATGTAGTATTCCAAGCACCAGAACAGTGCCTCGCACTTAGTGGGTACTCAAAAAATATTTTCAGAATGAGTGAATGGAGAATAAAACAAGACCATGGAAGCTGAGAGTAGATGGTTGAATGGTAACTAAACAGGAGGCTGAAATATAAGCCAGCAAGAAAATGGGATTGGAGTTGACAGAAACAAGCCAGTTCACTCAGCAGAATCACAAAGATGCTCAGGAATTGGTAGTAGGTGCCTGTGAGAGTGGGAATGCATGGGAGTGGAAAATGGAACCACAGTAGGCCGAATGCACTTGGACTCCAGCAGAAGATGAGGCTTCGACTCCCTGGAGAGACTGAGAAGAGGGATTCTGGTTTAAAGACACAGCACAACCGAGTGGAGGCACTGTAATTAGAGGATAGGTGTCTACTTATGAAACAGTGAGACTTTTAGCCCCTTTCTCCACTTGACTTTGAGAGCACAAGCAGTTAGACCTTATTAAACAACTCCCTCCTCCAGCATCCCTCCACTGAACTAAGCAGAGAGATGACAGACTTTCTCCGGTTAAAATCTCTGTCCAAGAGAAAACTCGGTAGCAGACTTCTCAATGGCTACACTAGAAACTGGAGAGTCATAAAGCCATGGCTTCACATCTCTGAGGAAAAGTTATTTCCAGACTAAAATTGTTGGCAAAATGATGAATCAAGTGAAGGAGAGAATAAACTTTTTTTTTCCGGAAATGGAAGGAGGCAAGATTTTACTCCCTATGCATCCTTTCTCGGGATTCTCGAGGAGGGTATGCTCCATCAAAAAGAGACACTGATGAAGAAAAAGAAAAGCATGGGGTCCAGGAAACAAAAGATTCACACAGAAAAGTGGTAGAGAGAATCCTTAGAATGATGGAGAAAGGACATTTGAAGACAACCATCATGCCAGGATGGCCCCAAGAACAAAAAGAACCCCAAATTACATAGATGTGATTGGACAGAGGGAGGAGATTGATACTTACATTGGTAAGTTTGGGGATAAAATGAGGTTGCTTGACAACTAAGGAAATGAAGAAAATAATCATTAACTCTGGGGAAACCAAAGTTGTTTATGAAAGTAAGAAAGTACATTTTATGGCTAGCCTTTGAGTCATATTTACATAGTTTTAACATATAAATACTGAATAGTGACTTAGCTAAAAATTATGATAGCCCTGTTAGAAGGAAGGCGGTAAATGAAACAGGTATGAAGAAAGGAGAGATGGAAAAAAGAGATAAATCCTCTTTTCACCGGTAGGAAGGTTTAGACCTTAACATAAACAAGGATGTAACGGACCCAACAGCTAAGATAGTCAGAAATTGGTTACTTCTGGGAAGCACAAATTAAGAGTGAAAAGGGAGAGGGCAGGAGGTTTTTAAAAATATGAGCCTTCTAGTACTATTTTACTTTTCCAATCATGTATGTTTATAACTTACACAAAACAGAAACAAAAAAGAAACCCCCCAAAGAGAAACTGCACAGCCAAGAAAAAGAACAGGAAAGTCATAATGTAACTTCAGCAACTTTTATTCTTCACATGGCAACTACATCTTGCTTAACAGAGTTTGAACCTATCAAAATTGATGACTACAATTGAAATATTTAGACCATGTACTGGAATGCATGATTTCCTTGTCGGTACTTCACTGATGTTACATAGCATAAAGCACATATCTAGCTGAAACATTGCTGGCAAGATGGTTCATCTTTGCCAGTAGGCTGAGTAAGCTGCAGAAACTGACCTCTTCTCAGCACGAGAATAAAGAGGAAAAACCAAGCCAGTGGGCTTTGCCAACAGAAGTGAAGTAAGCACAAGAATAAGCAGATAAAAGCCCCTTTTGCTTGAGCCCGTTTCCTCACCTGCAGATTTTGGAAGCTCCATCAGATCATCTCAAGTTCCTGTTTTTAGCGCTAAACTTCAAGTTAGACCTTCACACACATCCCTAGCCCCTTTTATTTCCTGAATTAATCTAAGACACAGACAACCATGTCCTAGTTTTTCTAGAACAGTCTTGGAATCTGTTGCTTGCTTCTCCTTTAACTCTCAAAAGTGGCCCAGTTAATCTTGTTTTATATTTCTAAGGAAAAACATGCATTTACTTTTTAACTTAAAAATATAACATTTCTAAAAATAATAATAATAATATTTCATGACTTGCTTTCTCTTAAAAATTTGGAGAAATTTCCAATTCCTTTGTGGTGGTTTGTGAACTACCAAGAATTTTTTAAAAGCAGATTAAGGTGTAATATAAATTTTTCTTCTAAAACATTATTCAGTGTGCATAATATCCTTTTAAAACTATTCTCTAGTAACCCTGGGACATTTGGTACTTCCTGAAAACTATGACTAAAATCTTTGTGGAAGAATTAGGTGATATAATAGGTTCTATTTATTAAAACAGTCTGAGAATTGAGAATGTCTTCCACTTGACTTCATTAACAATTATAACAATGATCTCAATACTGTTCTCTCAGCAAATGATAGGTCTCATCCATCATCATGGCTGTTAAGAGGCTAATCAGTTATCCACCAGGGAATATGACCCTCCCACTGCACAGACAAGCTCTATTTGCTAATGATTCCCAAATTTTCTTTAAGATGAGGACTAACGTCCTGCCAATCCCCCAGACAAAAGCTCCCATATTATCCAATGAACTTGAAACACTCCTTTCACAGTGAGCAGCAGTGAACATTCCATAATTAATTACTCAGTTTCAAGAGAGATTTAACATTGCTTGCTTTTCTGGAAGATACAAAGAGTTCCTTAGTTTTATTCAAATATGAACTATCCCTGATATAAAACATGTCTCATTATGAAGAGCTGTGATTTGTCTCAGCATTCTTTTTCCTTACTTAACCACTTAAGTCACTGACTGTGGAAATTTTTTTAATTGAAATAAATACAAGGTCCACTTAGAAGGAAAATAAACCCATCAAATAATTTTGTTTTAAAGATATGTGATTACCATATTTTTAAAAGTTGCTTTGAAAATGAGCTAATGTGTTATACTAGGATCATGCTATGGGGACTAATTTATTGTCTGCCCTAACCTAGTAAAAACAAAAGGAAAGCTGGATTTGGCATTCGCTTGCACTTTTCATCTTTATGAGAAAGTATGCCTGAGTTTCTGGGTCTGAGATCAGGTTTGCTTGGTAGCCTCAAAGAGCAATTTACCTTTTTTTTCAAAATTTGCTTTTGATCATTTCAGACAATTCATCCTTTCTGAATGAGAAAGACTAGAAGAGAGGAATGTCGAATGAGGTTAAGTAAACGGAGAATCTGTCACATAAAGCAAGTTTAAAGCCCCGTAACAGCATCCATGCAGGACAAACGGAAGCATTATTCTTTTGAAAACATTATTCTTTTAAACAGTGTGTAATGACATCCTCTCCAGAGACCTCTTCCATAAAAGAAAAAAAAATACTTCCTCAGAAGTCATCTTCTAGATTCCCAGTATAATGAGTGAAGTACAGTGAAAAGTCAGACTTGTGTTTTTTTATGTAAGAAGGTTCAAAATTAGAACTGCAAAAAGGGGCTCATAAGTTTCTGAATGTTTTTGTTTTCTGTTACTTACCGGTATTTCCATGAACCAAAAGGACAAGTGAAAGGAAAAGATTGCCATTATTACCTTAGACCTGTATCAGGGAACGTGTTCTCGTTACAAACTGGAGCCAAACGTATTTTGTTTTCAAGGGAGAAATACATAAAACTCAAATATGCTAAATGTGCGATAATGCACTTTAAGTTCCTTTTATCATTTTCTTGTGCTGAAGTATCAATCTGTGGAATGTGTTTCCAGTACTCTGTGCTGCTATTACCTCCTGAGGACTTAATTGAAAATAAATATGAAAATTTTATGTTTTAAAAGTTTGGTATTACTTAAATATCAGAATTTGGCTTTTGTTTTAAATGTTTAAAATATGTTTAAAAAACAAAAAGGTAAATAAGCAGAGAAATTACTTCTTTCAATTCCAACTCTACTTTGTTTAATTAACGCATGTTCAAATAAACAGTTTTTCTTAAAAAATTTCAAAATTGTTGAATACATAGGAAAAAAGAAGAAAGACACTACAGAAAAATCGCAATTATGATGTTTATTTAGCAAAATAAATTGAAGAAAGTTTTCTATTAAAAAAAGTAAGAATCATATCCAAATTTTAGCTTCCCCATCTTCTTTGGTACTGAAATCAATGTTCAGGATATATTTATTTTGAAGTTAGTCATTGGGTCTATAACAGTTTTCCACAGAAGGAAAATAGAAAATTAAGATACCTGTAATTGTCTCATTTATTGAATAACCAATGGGTGTGTAAAAGCAGTCAATTATGTGTATGCTGAAACTAACAACATCAAGGAAATTCATTCATAGATATATGTTTTCCACTGGAAATATATCCCAAATTTTTCAGTAATCTTCTGCCATCATTTTACTATGTTATCTGAATAGTAATCCAATGTACAGATGCTGTTATTCACTTAACTCATGAATTACTCTCTAAGGAAGGTGACACCACCACACCAGGACTTATTAACATTTATTTTCAACATGACTACACCATTAAAAATTTTTTTCTGTATTTCTTAGAATTGTGTGCTTCAGTCTTTTCATAAAATAGTATCTGGAGATCGCTAATAGCATTAAATTAATATTAATAAAATCCAATTCTATCTAAGTCTTTTTCTCTTAAGAAGAAATATTACTTAAAACCAGACATTTTGTTCTTTTAAGAGCAGTATTATATGGACTGCTAATTCAGCCAAGCCACTTCCAGAAACACCATGTGACAACCAAGCTACTCTTATTCCTTTGATAAATTCTTTGCCTTTACCCATACTGATTTCTCCATGTCCCTGCTTTCTTGTGTGAAAGTACCTTCCCCTTAATTTGTTAAAAGAATCTGAGAAAAAAAATCCAGTAACAAACAAGGGCAATGATTTTATTTTTTGCACAGACTTGTGACCACAAAATGATCAAGCAATTTATAGCTTCAGTGCTAACACTGTGATTGGGAACAAGAAGAGTACAACCATAATAAAATACAGCTATCTATTAGAAGGACTGCGTAAAGACATCTTTGGCCATGTAGGCTCTGGGCCCTCTGGAAATAAGTCAGTTGCATTGCCAACATGACAAAGAAAATAGCGATGTTCAGAATCAGGAACAGCCTGGTATACGAAGCAGACAGTGCTGGGGCTCTGCTGCGAGTCGTCGTCACCATCCGAGCCTGTCCAAACCGGCCTTTCATCAAATCACCATTTTTGTGTTTCTCATATGTTACATCTGCAAAATCTAAAAGGTCTTTCATTTCTTCATCTTCATCTATGGGCAGTTCTTTCTGTGCCAAAATCTGAGCTTTCTGTCGAATCTTTTTTTCATTGACTTCAATCTGTGCAAAAATATCAGGGACGGCATCCACAAATTTATAGCGCTTGCCTCCCCTTCGGTTTTTCTTGGACTTGCTTTGCTGCTGCTGCTGCTGTTGCTGTGATATGGCAAAAATCCTATCGATGGCCTCCTCAGTCTGTCTCTTATCTGAAAATCTCAGCAGGCGCTCAGCAGTCTTCCTAAAGCTGGCTGTGTTCCGGACTCGGGACAGGATCTGCTTCTCCAGCAGCTGGAACACTGGCTTAAAACGCTGCAGGTTCTGTTCCACAATAGCGGCGTAGTCCTTCACCTCAGGGACAATGGTGCTCTTGATGGCTGAACTCCAGTCAAACAGAATTTTCTGACGGTCGGCAATGACCTGTGCCAAGGCCAACTGTTCTGTAGTCTCACCTGTCCACAGGTAAGTGGCGTAGGCATGCTCACCGGTGGCTATGAACACATCCAGTTGCTGAGAGTCTCCGTGGATGCTGAAGCTCTGAACGTCTATGGAGGGCCCTATGAAGAGGTAAGCTGCCCTGGTGATGGGACTTCGGAGGTGTGTGGTGACATTCACATAGTTGGTCCCATTGTAGGGATAGCCCCGAGGGTATGTCACTGAAGCAAAGGTTCCTTTCTCACTGTAGCCAGTATCATCCATCCAGTACATTTTATAGAGCCCATCTCGCTGCCTGATGAAAGCCCCATGGACCCCATCTACCACTGTCTCCTCAAAAGAAAAATCCACATTGTGGAAGAAGCCTGCTGCTGTCTCCAAGGGGCTGTCCTCTCCCAGGTGTATCTGATCCACGAGGAGGAGAAGCTGTGGATGCAGGAGGATCAGATTCCTCTGAACGTTCTTCAGATGGAGCTGGGGGTTGTAAGCGCCCACACCCTCTCCTCGGATGAAAACCACCCCATTTTTCTCCATTGCAGCAACAACTCTCCCCTGACAGCTAGCTGCCAGGTCATGCTTGTATTTAGACCATTTTGATGAACAGTCTTCTGTGACCTGACCTTCCCAGGGAGAAAAGCAGCTCTTGGACACAGCTGGGGAAAACATCAAAACATTGTTGAAGAAGGTATACTTTGGCCCATAGAGAGCCTCAGTAATGAAAGGCACACCGTTGGGAGCAAAAGTAAAGGAGTTTTGATCAGGATGTTCATGCCCTGCATTAAAATTTCTCCAGCCTTTGATCCAGTCTTTGTATTTGTTTCTGTGGACAATGTCATATATTGCACGTCCCCCAAGTTTTCCTGACTTGAAGGAAAGGAAAGATCTATTGATTTCTGCAGGCAGCGCACTTCCATAAGTCACAACACCCCAGTCTTCAAAATAATGCAATGCTGGGGTGCCAAAATCTGGAGGGGGGACAGATTTCAAGCTGGCATCATACCTGAAAGAATCAATTTTTAAAAATTAAATGGTTTTCCGATAGAAGTGAAAGGAACACAGCAGAGCCGCGAGGCCACACGGCAACGTGGCTGGAGGAAACAACATAAAAATGCCACCCAGAGCACTGGCAGCGCAGACTGTATTAGGGGCATTTCTGAAAACACCCACGTATAATCAGCATGTGTAGGGGCATGCCCTTGGTGAATGGGAGAGGAGTGTGTCTTTACAACTGTGAAGGGTTTGAGCCGGAAATGACAGCTACTGATAATCGCTACGTGGACCCTCTTCACTTAATGATTTCAGAACTGCCACCCAAACGACGGGGGCTCATAGAATTAAGCAGCTCATCCAAACCTCTAGTTGAGGGGCTCCTATTCTAGGAAACCACATGTTAAGATTTGGACTTTAGCCATCCTTGAGTGCTAAGGAAGCACTGTTCTGCAAACAACTGATACTATTGAAAGTTCGGTAGAGTACTTTCTTCCCCCTCTAAAAAAATAAATTTAAATAGAGTCGAATTTCACGTATTAGATAAAATTTACTGCCAATACCACATCTAAGAATATGAATGGATGAAATTCAGGAAATGATCTAACAGTGGAGGATTTATGATCATGCCACCCACTGCCTAGCCCGATTCCAAGGTTTTGTTTTGTTTTAATCTGCAGATGATGTCATGCTTTTTTTGATGTAAGTTTCTTATTTTAATTTATGATGTTTATTATCAAAGTAAGATCATTCACATTAAACTTTCACCGTGATTAAGAACACAGGTTTTGATTCAGGAAGGCTCCAAAAATAATAATGGAGATGACTGTTCACTTTTGGTGATCTGAGACAACAGCCTTGACAGGTTCATATGATTTGCTGCTCAAGGGAAGAAAGGCTCTAAGATACTTTTTCTCTAAAGTGAATCAGTCACCTATGGTAGAGTTAATCTTACTGATATTTATTTGATTTGGGCTGTTTTGTCTTTTGTTCTGGAGTCTCAGTTACGGACATGAGCAATTGTCTCTCTGCTTCAGTCTAGTGTACAGTGCTGGCTTAATTATGATGATTTAACAAATCCAGAAACAAGTGGAACTGGCCATCCTCCTCTCAGGTTTTGGTCAGTTTCATATTCCCATAAAGGCACTTTCTGAATCAAATTAGACTTAGCATTAATCTGACTCCTATAATCAGCTTTATAGAACTCTCTTGTTTATTTACGGGTAAGTGAAAAACACTATTAAGTAATTACTTTAAATACCTAAAAGGAGCCAAGAATGGTTGCATGTTAATATATGCAGTTCATCTGTGAAGATAGTTTTTAAAAATGCTGGTTAAATTATGACAGTTACCACTTTACTAACTTTTTTTTCCCTCTTGTTTAATTTTTTTTTTTGTGCATGAAAAGAAGCAATCAAACCACAGAAGCTTACTTTGGAGTTGAATGCAAATTTCAGTAGCTTGAAAAGACATCAGGGATTAATGATTAACCAGTTCCCTGTAATTTTTATTTTAATTTATTAGATGCCAAAAATGTATTTGGCAGTACTTTAAAAAGGAGAGCCTGGCTTCTCCTTCTAGGCTTAAAAGATTAAGGCAAAAAAATTACATGGTTCTTTTATTATCAAAGTAAAACTGTCAAATACTGTCACCACTTTTAAATAGTTTTGAAAATTTAGCCACAGCTTTGCTATTAGAAGATTATAATGCTCCATTTATCAAAACAAAACATTTTACTACTTTTGTTTTTTTTTTTGGTGTGATTATCAGAATAACTCAGTCTAAATTTCGTGGTTTTTCTCTTTATAGGATTTTAAAAATGATGTAAATCAAAACATGCATATCTAGGAAATAGTGTGAGCCTAGGATTCTAATACATGTAAAGCAAAAACTGCAAACAGTAATTAGATCTTAAATGGAAGGAAATGTTTCTAACAGAATTTCAAAACTGTGATATGAACTGAATTGAAGCTGCGAGTACATAGGTGGCATGGAGAAAGTGTTAAAAAGTAGATTAGTTTTTCTTTTTTAATGTAAAAAAATTAGCACACTATACCCCTGGGTACAATTTCTCTTTAAAGCCAGTACAAGGTAGCATACCAGAGAAATTCTGTGTGAAGCGTACACCAGCGCTGCCCTTTGGAAGGCGTCCCTGGACCTTCCATCACACGGTTCCTTCTGATCTGGTCAGCCAACCAGTTACCACTGCCGTTACGCATGACAAATTTATCCAGGAACACTAATTGGCTTTCTGGACCATAAAACCAGTTGTAATTTGAGTCTGCAATAGCCACAGTTCTTTGAAACCCTGGGGAAAGAAGTTTGACAGAATTAAGATAAGTTTAAACTGCCTACTTCCATAAAGGCCCAAACAATGATTCTCAATCCTGGTTCCAAATTAGACTCAATTGTGTACCTTGGATAAAAATAAGAAACAAAAAACCACCATGTCCTCACTCTACCCCAGGCCAGTTAATCAGAATCCTTCTAAAAGTCTTCCACAAACCTGTGTGCAAGTTTGTCATGTGGCAACTTGTCTTTGGTAATGGAAACAACTATTAATGCTTACGTTTGTTGCCTACCTTCCTCATTTTCTAATGTCCATGCTGCTTGCAAATATAATTGCATGGATACATGGGAGATCTATCCTCTTGTGCATGGTGAGTCCCTGAACCTGGAATCAGCACTAGCTTTCCCACCAACTCATCCCACATCCCAGACCAAGATAATAACGTAAGGTGCTTCAACTTGGCATCCAATACAGCAGAAATTATAAGGTTTCGGGGAGAAACTGAGTTTCTATAGGAAGAAAATGAAACAATTCCAGAGAAGGTCCTGCCTGTATGTACTATTAGAAGTTGAAGAAAAGAGAGAAAATGTAAAGATCATACTGGAATAGGTCAGAAAAACAAATGTAGGTAAGACCAGATAATGCTCCAGGCATTCTTGAAAAAGAAGAATGGAATAAAATTCTGGGTCAGACAGGAATAATCGTTACTAGAATAGCCATTGTAGAGAAAATAAAAAAGAAATGTTGTTGAGAACAGACTGACTTAACACAGAATCCCTTCTAAAAATGCCTGCATGACCATATTTACATGATTTACAGCTAATGTTTTTGCTTCTAGCAGTTTAGTAAACTCTCGTCCAAGTAAATCTTACTATAAAATGTGATTTTCTGAATCTTCTACTAACCTGTATCTTAAAAGCAGATGGGATGTTTTATTACTCTGAATCCCCTGCCTATTACAGTGCCTGGCACATAAATGTTCAATAAAGGTTGTTTTACTAATTGACACAAATACATGATTTCTCCTCTTAGAGGTGCTCATATTGTCTTTTCTACCTTAGGCAGTAGCCACATACATAGTTCACAGCAAACCCAAGCCCTGATGTGGCTGGCTGTTAGAACTCAGATCAAATTACAAAGCACTGAGACCTCTTAAAGGCCCTTGCTTTAGATGGCCTTTGTTTACCAAGATAAACTAAAGATAAAAGAGGCCTCTCCTGCATGCTTAAGGATAACCAAAACAATAGGGCTCCGCATGTGAGTCTAAACTAAATTTTTCTAAACTAAACATGGTTCTTTTGCTCTGCAGTATTTTTTTGATAACTAATCCAATAATGGAGATTCTATCCAATCCATGTGTATATAACCAGAGCAAAAAGATTTAAAAACTGCATTGTTTGCTGTAGGTCTCGCATCATTCAACTAAAAAATTGCATTTCACTGAGGGAAAACCCACCCTGATGAAAATTTACCTCCTAAACTTTTTCTAACACGATAGTCCTGTTTAGAAATAAGGAGAGTTATAGGCTGTCCTAGAAATGAATAAACTCTTTAT